ACAAAGGAAGAGAAAACCAAATACCACACATTCTCACGTATAAGTGGGAGCTAAATAATAAGAACACATAGACACATAGAGGGGAACAACAGACACTGTGGCCTACTTAGAGTGGAGATTGGGAGGAAAGAGAGAATCGGGAAAAATAACTAATGGGTACCAGCTTAATACCTGGTACAAATCTGTAGAACAAACCCACATGACACTGTTTACCTATATAACAAACCTATACATGTACCCCTGAACCTAAAATAAAAGTCAAATGAAAGAAAATAAAATATATGTTGTTTGAATCAGAAGAGCTCAAAGTGAAGTAGAAGGAGGAGACATAAGTGAGAAAGCAAACAGAAAAAAAAAAAAAAAAAGTTATTTATAGTGATTCAGAGCTTGGAATTTTAAGTCACACAGACCTGGATCCAAATCTGCACTTAAAAGAGTTGTATAATGCAGAAGTCAAGGTTTCCTCATTTCTGAAATGGGGATAATAACCATTTCATCTCTTCCTTTTTAGGAGGGGACAAGATAAAGTGCTTAGCTTGGCAATACATGGGAATATGTTACAGGCAATCTATAAATGATGTATAATATAGACAATAAGAGAACATTTATCCCGGGTAAAGACTGCTTCCTGGAGGAGGTAACTCTTGAACTGAGTCCTAATCAATGATTAGGAAGTAGAAAGAATCCAGATAGAACCTCAGAGAAAGGTTAAGTTTCCATACTAACACTAAAGACTCTCCATAATCTGATCTCCACCTACTCAGGTTACTACTCAGCTACCTCTTCTCTCTTGAATCTCCTAAAGGAAACTTCCCTTTTGTCCAGGCCAGTTTGCTCACTAACCTCAGAATATGCTCTGCTTATTTTCTTCTCTCTATTATTGTTTATGCCATACTCATCCCTGACTCTGGCCCTAGCCTAAAGCCTGCCCATTCCAGAAGACCCACAAGTTCCACCTTTTAATTGACCATTTTAATGGTTCTCAGCAGTGGCTGCATTCTTGAACTTTCCCAACACAGGGTCAGATTACCATGCTCCTTTCCACATTTCCTTTGCCCTCCCACTAACTACCTGCTCATCATTTTCCTTAACTATCTGCACCTTTGCAGTGAGATTTAATTTTTCATATGTGGACATCATATCTCTATTGAATTGTAAACTCTATGAAGGTGAGACTTCTTGTAAGCAAGATAAAATAGAGCAAGGATATAGCATTTAGTCTCACATCCATTTGATATGTGAAGAAAGGAACAGATTCAGAAAACTACTAGCAACAGTTTCAGTTAGCATGAAACCCAAAGCTTATGACAGGTCTACAAGGGCTTAAATGATAGAACTTAATGGGGCATCTTGATTTTTGTTACTTACCTTGATATGCCCTCAGCTCTATCAAAAGCAAGCAATAAAAACTTTCCACCGTAGGTTGTGTTAGTCATTTAAGATGCCTCAAATGCTTCTGGGAGTAAGGCATGATATAATAAAATAAAGGTCAGGGGAAATGTTGGCAGTCAACTTCTTAAACATGGCTACTGCCGTGGAAAGTAGTATATGGTATAGCAGAATTAACACACCTGGGTTAAAATCCTTTGAAATTTACTAGCATTAGAAACTGGGCAAGTCCTTAACCTCTCTCAGGCAATTTCCCAGTCTAATAATGTGGATTAAATATTTACCACTCAGGGTTGCTGTGAAGATTAAATGAGTATGTATGTATGTATAGTATATATGCGGTATATATAATATATGTATATGTAGTAATTAGCACACTACCAGAAAGACAATACCTCCTTTAGCAGTCATTATTAAAACACTGCCATCAACCCATCATCTTTTCCAAAGCCTTTAAAGAAAGTAAGAAAATAAATATTCTCTTCCCTCTTTAAAGATGGCGTATCAGGAGTAACTTGCTGAAACCCACTGGGGACTCGGACCTAAAAATAAGATTCCTAATCATAGCACTCAATGTACAGTAAGGTTGTCTTTATGGACAATCTCTTACCTGTTGCAGTGTAAAAAAAAACATATTAAGAGTCTGGTCATACTTTTTAGAGTAACTGAGTTTTAAGACTCATTAAGAGACTTTCAATTTGATAAAGAAAAAGTGAGAGCCTTAGACACTATAATCAAGCTATAGAAAAAAAAAACAGCGTTCCACAAAAGATAAAAGATAAACTGTTCAACCCATGAAGACACTTGAGATTGTAGCCACTGCCTTTGAAATTCTTCAGCTCATACTATTAGTCCAAAATGGCAGGAATCAAATAACAAAAACAAAACAAACAAAGCCCCAAATGGTAGGAGTCATAAAATAACATGTGGAATGAGCCAGAGAATTATGAACTCTTGGAGATGGAAGAGACCTCTGAAGTCATCTAGCCCAAGTCCCTCCTTACAGTCGAGAAAGCAGACAACAGGAGAGATTCCATGCTCTTAGGCTGGTGCAAAAGTAATTGCGGTTCTGCCATTGAAAGCAGTGGTACTTATGGTTGGGTGGGGTGGCTCACGCCTGTAATCCCAACACTTTGGGAGGCCAAGGTGGGTGGATCACTTGAGGTCAGGAGTAAAGACCAGCCTGGTCAACGTGGTGAAACCCTGTCTGTACCAAAAATACAAAAATTACCCGGGCGTGGTGGCAAATGCCTGTAATCCCAGCTACATGGGAGGCTGAGGCAGGAGAATTGCTTGAATCTGGGAGGCAGAGGTTGCAGTGAGCCAAGATCGTGCCACTGCACTCCACCCTGATGACAGAGCGAGACTGTGTCTCAAAAAAAAAAAAGAAAACAAAAGAAAGTAATTGTACTTTTGCACTAACCTAATACATGTCAAGCTTCTTTTGCCTCTTCACTATTGTCGTAATTTCCCCAAGATTTCATTACTTCCCTTGCAGTAAGCAGATCAGTCAGGAAAAGGTTCGACTGCCTTATAATATGGGCCCAAACACCAGAAATATCCACAATTCTTGTCCCTGACAGAACATAAATGGGCAATGGCACACATGTTCTTGGACCTGATTAAACCATCAGGTTCCAGGGTACACAGCTGTACAAAGAGTGGACAATGCTGTCTACAAAAGAAATGCACACTTAGAATTAGAGGATTTTCATATTTCTTCTATAGAAAGAAAGATCCTTATGGGACTACCAAAATTATGTGGAAGTTTCTAGTGGTGATTAGTTTCTAGTGATATTTTGTTTCTAGTGGTATTTTGAGACAGTCTCCTTCCTATTTATCTTCATGATCATACCAGGAAGAAAAGCTGAATTAGACTCTGAGAAGAAGAGTATCACATACTAGGAAACCAGTTCCGATAAGTGATTAACATGAAACATTTCCTTGTTAACTGAACCAACCAAATTTCAAATGACTGTTTTCACCCAAGTTCATTCCTAAACTTGAGGCTTTACTCTCCCAGTAAGTTCACTGACTTACATAATTAATACATGCAAATGCTTATGAAAATTTAGGAAGCCACTGAGTGAATAAATACATTCATTTGTAATAAATAAGTGATACAGAAATCAAACCATTTTTGGGTGAAATATACTAGCTAGATATAATTATTCCCTTTAATTAGTCCTTGAAGCTTGTCCTAATGCCAATGTTTTGAGAAAATACTAACACTAGGAAATTTATGACTGCAAATGCCAAAAAAAATGAAGTGAAATTATATTGAATTTTTAAAAGATTTCATGTTTAGAACAAGAGATAATATCAGGGTCCTGCTCTGCTTTAGACAGGAGATCTGAAAATACTGTGGATGCCCCAGCAAAAAGACTATGTCAAAGTACATTAAATTCTTAAGCAAAAGGCAAGAATCAAATCTCAAGCATCTGGAGAGGTAGTAAAATAACTGAAGATATGTAGGATAAAGAAGAAAGAGGCAAAACAGGAGCAGAACAACTAGAGCCTTTAAATAAATACCTGGACAGCAATCAGAAAAGGAACTAGCATTGTTTTAGTTGGTCCTAAGAGAACAAGTTACCAATGGATTAAAAGTACAAAAAAACAGACTTTGGTTTAAAAGTAACTCTCTGTTAGCTCAAAAGTCAATAAATATTAACAGTGCGTGAAGGATAAATTTACATAAAATAGCAAAAAAATGAATCCAAGAAACTTGGGCATACCAAATGAACCTTTGACAAAAGTTTAGGCGCACATAATCCATGACACTAATCCATTAAGATTAGTGATAGGCCAGGCATGGTGGCTCATGACTGTAATCCCAGCACTTTGGGAGGCCAAGGTAGGAGGACTGCCTGAGTCCAGGAGTTCAAGACCAGCCTGGGCAACAAAGCGAGACCTCGTCTCTAAAAAAAAATAATAATAATATTAATAATGATATTAGTGATGGGTTATATTACAATAAGTAAAACCAACTTCCAATTATTTATAATAGAAAGGAAGGCCAGGCACAGTGGCTCACACGTGTAATCCCAGGACTTTGGGAGGCAGAGGTGGGTGGATCATTTAAACTCTGGAGTTCGAGACCAGCCTGGGCAATGTAGTAAAACATTGTCTCTACCAAAAATACAAAAAAATTAGCCAGACCTGGCAGTGCACACCCATGGTACCAGTTACTCAGGAGGCTAAGGTGGGAGGATTGCTTGAGCCTAAGAGGGAGAGGCTGCAGTGGGCTGAGATCATGCCACTGCACTTCAGCCTGGGCAACAGAGTGAGACCCTGTCTCAAAAAAGAAAGGAAAAAGAAAGAAAGAAAAGAAAAAAAGACACAAAGTATGGATAATTCTGAAAGTTATATTTTATAAAGAATAATCTATCCATGATGATTAAGCTACTGCAGAACTGCAGTGAGAAAAGGTGATGGGCTGTCCTAGGTGGTGGCAAGGGAAAAAGGAGTGAAAGGATTTCAGGAACATTTCAGAGATGGAGCTCATAGTACCTGATGATTTATTAGAGACTCTTGGAATACAGTATTAGTAGGATCTACTGTGTCAGTTTAGCTATTTATCCATTAACAATAACAACAGTACCCCCTCTTTTCCTTTCTCCGCCATCGTGGTGTGTTCTTGCTTCCACTTCTCGCCATGTCTTCTCACAAGACTTTCAGGATTAAGCGATTCCTGGCCAAGAAACAAAAGCAAAATCGTCCCATTCCCCAGTGGATTCGGATGAAAACTGGAAATAAAATAAGGTACAACTCCAAAAGGAGACATTGGAGAAGAACCAAGCTGGGTCTATAAGGAATTGCACATGAGATGGCACATATATTTGTGCTGTCTGAAGGTCACGATCACATTACCATATCAAACTGAAAATGTCACCACTCTCTGGAGAGTTCGACGTATTTTCCTCTCTGAATCTATTATGAATGCATTGGTTGGCTGGGTTCAGTAATAAATTGTGAGGACTTTCATTCCAAAAAAAGAAAAAAAAACAATAACAACAGTAGGAAACACATACTGCTTACCATAGGTCAGGCAATATTGTAAACATTTTACATAGATTAACTCATTTCATTCTCACAACACTATGAAGTATATTTATAACCATCCCCATTTTAGAGATGATAACCTAAGGCTTACATCAGTTAGGTGAGCCAATAAGTATCAAAGAATCAGTAAGCGGTTAGATACAAGATTTGAACCCAGATACTGTAATTCCAAAGCTAAAGCTCTTAATCGATCAACTAAATAGCTGTAAAGGAAAATAAACAAAGTCGAAAGAAGGCAGAATGTAGTAATGTCAAGAGCCCAGTTTAATGAAGAGCCTCAGTGGGGTAAGAGGATAGCAGTTTGGCTGCTCAAAATCACATGAGGTGTTCATAAAAAAAACTTAAATAAATAAATAAATAAAATAAATCCGTACTGAATCCAAATCCCTGCAGATAGGAGATAAGAATTAACTTTTTTTCTTTTTTTTTTTTTTTTTTTTTTTTTGAGACGGAGTCTTGCTCTGTGCCCCAGGCTGGAGTGCAGTGGCGCGATCTCGGCTCACTGCAAGCTCCGCCTCCCGGGTTCACGCCATTCTCCTGCCTCAGCCTCCCGAGTAGCTGGGACTACAGGCGCCCGCCACCTCGTCCGGCTAATTTTCTTGTATTTTTAGTAGAGACGGGGTTTCACCGTGTTAGCCAGGATGGTCTCGATCTCCTGACCTCGTGATCCGCCCGTCTCGGCCTCCCAAAGTGCTGGGATTACAGGCTTGAGCCACCGCGCCCGGCCTTTTTTTTTTTTTTTTTTAAAGCCCTGGGAAATTTTGTGGCGGAACCAAGTTTGAGAACCTGTGTAATAAAAGATTTCTAAGGGCTCTTCCTGCTTTAACATTCTAGTTGGCACTGTAAATGAATTTCCCAGAAATCAAAGGAGCGAGGGAGGGATCCTAGCTGCAGGAAAACGGCTATGCATTCAGAGTCTACACCACTTATGCTCCCATTTTACTAAACGGTCCCTCATAGCGTGAAGGATAGAACAGGCAACGGTAGGAAGGATGTGGTGTCCACGACAAGCAGGCTAAAAAAGCAGACTTTTAAAAAGACTTTTCTAGCACGATTTGCAGAAAGAACCCTTTCGTGACTATATATATTTGTGGTCATCCGACTGGATTTTGAGGTGGATTCCTCAGATCCGTATCTGGCTAATGATGGATTTCAACATATTTTCTCTAAGCACCCCAAAGCGTTGCACGAAACCTCTAGGTTGGGGCCTGCCCCGAGGCCAGGTGAATCCGGCTCAGCAGCAGAGATGTCTGCAATTACACCCTCTAATCCCCTACTATCAGATATGACCCGTTCCGCACATACCTGAGGGTCCTCTGGTAAGATTGATCTCTTCCTCAGCGACCAAATAAACCACTCTTCCGTTCATGATTTACAGCTCGTCTGGCTTCCTACTCGGGTCAGCTGGAGTTCCGCACAGGAGAAGGTGAATCAATCTCGGCGCTGCTGCCCACAGCACAGCACTTTCGGTTTCAGCAGCCTCGAGACCCGGAAAAGGAAGCCCGAAGGACTCAGAGCGCTGGGAATGCTGGGAATCGTGGTTCCTGCCGCCAACGGATTGCAGTTTCTCACCAGTTCCCAAGGCCACGCATGAGGTGAGCAAGGGGCAAGTTATTCTAATTTGCCATTGGAAGGAGGTGGGAAGGGGTGGCTAGTAAAAGTAAGGGACCTAAATAAATTGATATTGTCGAGAAAAAAATTTTTTAAAAAATCCCCTGCCATCCTAGAAAATCTCCACAAATTTAGAAAAGAAAAAAAAGTTGTATTATTCTGTAAACATCGAACCAGACCGGAATGAGTGTCACAGGCAATCCACTAATGAGATTGCAAAGAGAGACAACAATATCACCTTTTATGTAGCTAAAGCACACGCACGTTCTCAAGTAAGACGAGTTAACATGGTTTGATATTCAATTTTTGGTAGTTCACCGTTGGAGTGGCCGTCTGTATTGGTTAATTGCCTTTATCCAAAGGAAAAATAAAACGTTATCTCTGTGACAAACAGGTACTTACGGCTTGGAGCAAGTCGCTTAGGGTAACTCCCGCGAGCGTGGATCATAGGGGCACTGTCTACCTTGATAGTTACATTTCAAGGAGTTGGCTCCCGGGACCTGAAGAAAAAGATTCCTGGGTTCTATCTGACAAGAGGCTTATTTAGCTTTTAAAAAGTTACACACACACACACACACACGCACACACACACACGGATTATAATTAGAATTTGCTCAAGAAAATTTTTTAAGAAAGGGGACTAGGGGAATGGCTCATCCTTTTGGCAACTGGGAAAATTCAGTCTTTTTAATGTTTTAACTCTTACAATAAGGTTAACTCACGACTTAGGTATAACTTTAGGCCAGTCTTCCTGACTTTTGGAATGAGATATTCCAAACTGAACTTGAATGAAACTTCAGGGGTCAAAAACACAAAAGCCTAAAGAACCAGGAAGGTGACAACCTTGTGAAGCAACCTGGAGTTAGACCACAGCGATTGGTGGGGATCTTAGAGGAGTAGAAAGTGCAAGGCCAATATAAAGACATTCAAATTTATAGTAAAAAACCAAAGCAGCAGCAACTATGTTTACCAAACAGAAGGAGATAGGGGCAGATTCGGCAGGAAGGCCTCTTGTTTGCTCACTCTGAGAGAAGTAAAGATGGAATAGTGGAGGCTGGGCGCAGTGGTTCACGCCTGTAATCCCAGCACTTTGGGAGGCTAAGGTGGGTGGATCACCTGAGGTCAGAAGTTCAAGACCAGCCTGGTCAACATGGTGAAACCCCGTCTCTACTAAATATACAAAAAATTAGCTAGGCGTGGTGGCGGGCGCCTATAATCCCAGCTACTAGGGTGGCTGAGGCAGGAGAATTGCTTGAACCCCGGTGGTGGAGGTTGCAGTGAGCTGAGATTGTGCCATTGTGCTCCAGCCTGGGCAACAAGACCAAAACTTCGTCTCCAAAAAAAAAGATGGGGCAGTGGAAATAACACAGATTATGACTTACAACCTGGGCTCAAGTTTCCATTCCATTCCCTTAAACTTGTCTGTCTTTGACCAAGGAATCCTACATCTCTGAACTCTGTTTCCCCATCTTAAAATGGGATTGATAGTAGCTCTTTATATGTTGGTTGGATGAGTGAATAAAATTATCATTATAAAAGGCAGAGAATGATAAATTAAAAAAGTAAAATATAAATAAATGACATTGGGGGCTGGGTGCCGTGACTCACACCTATAATCCCAGCACTTTGGGAGGCTGAGGTGGGCGGATCACTTGAGGCCAGGAGTTCGAGAGCAGCCTGGCCAACATGGTGAAACCCCATCTCTACTAAAAATGCAAAAAAATTAGCCAGGTGTGGTGGTGCGGGCCTGTGGTCCCAGCTACATGGGAGGCTGAAGCAGGAGAATCACTTGAACTCAGAAGGCAGAGGTTGCAGTGAGCAGAGATCGTGCCACTGCACTCCAGACTGGGTGTCAGAGCGAGACTCCATCTCAAAAAATAAAGAAAGAAAATAAAATAAATGACATTGGAATGCCAAGAGAGAAAAGATCAAATAGAAATGGGGAAAAATCAAGAAGTCATCAATGAGGAGATTTGTAAGGAAAAAAAACACAGGGTTTCTTTTAGACCACTGTGGGGGTGGGGGTGGGAGAATCACCTCTCAGTACCTGGGAAAATTGTCCTTTTCATCTGGGCACACAGCTTCAAATGAAATACGTAGGGCAGTGAAAGAAAAAAGTATCCTAAACAAGTTGAGGAAATACTGGTAGTAAGTAGAGTGAGAGATGGGGTGTGTAAATTGCCTTTATTCCCTAGTAGAAGTATGGGAATAATGGTGTCAGAGGCTTTTGAACTGGAGCGACTCCATCTTGAATAGGGGCTGGGTAAAATAAGGCTGAGACCTACTGGGCTGCATCCCCAGGAGGTTAGGCATTCTAAGTCACAGGATGAGATAGGTCAGCACAAGGTACAGGTCACAAAGACCTTGCTAATAAAAGAATGTGGTAAAGAAGCCAGCCAAAACCCACCAAAACCAAGATGGCGATTAAAGTGGCCTCTGGTCATCCTCACTGCTCATCATATGCTAATTATAATGCATTAGCATGCTAAAAGACACCCCTACCAGTGCCATGACAGTTTACAAATGCCATGGCAACATCAGGAAGTTACCCTATATGGTCTGAAAAGGGGAGGAACCCTCAGTTCCAGGAATAGCCCACCCATTTCCCCTAAAACTCATGAATAATCCACCCCTCGTTTAGCATATAATCAAGAAATAACCATAAAAGTAGCAAACCAGCGGCCCTCGGGGCTGCTCTGCCTATGGAGTAGCCATTCTTTATTCCTTTACTTTCTTTGTAAACTTGCTTTCACTTTACTCTATGGACTTGCCCTAAATTCTTTCTTGCATAAGTTTAAAGAACCCTCTGTTGGGGTCTGGACCAGGATCCCTTTCCAGTAACAACGGAAGAACAAGGAAGCTAGCTGGGCATGGGCATGGTGATATGCTTGTAGTCCCAGTTACTCTAGAGGCTGAGGCAGGAGGATCATTTGAACTCAGGGGTTTGAGGCTGCAGTGAGGTATGATTGAAGCACTGCACTCTAGCCTCGGTAACAGAGCAAGACCCCATCTCTATTAAAAAATGATAAAAGTAGGCCAGGTGCGGTGGCTCAAGCCTGTAATCCCAGCACTTTGGGAGGCCGAGACGGGCGGATCACAAGGTCAGGAGATCGAGACCATCCTGGCTAACACGGTGAAACCCCATCTCTACTAAAAAAAAAAAAATACAAAAAACTAGCCGGGTGAGGTGGCAGGCGCCTGTAGTTCCAGCTACTCGGGAGGTTGAGGCAGGAGAATGGCGTGAACCCGGGAGGCGGAGCTTGCCGTGAGCCCAGATCACACCACTGCACTCCAGCCTGGGTGACAGAATGAGACTCTATCTCAAAAAAATAATACTAATACTACTAATAATAATAAAAGTAAATAAATTTAAAAAAAAACAATGAGGGAGCTTTAATATGTAGGAAAGCAAATGACAGAGAAAATGAGATTCTACTCAGAGGAAACAACTGAGAAAAATTATGGAATCAGGCCGGGCGCAGTGGCTCGCCCCTGGAGTGTAGCCTCTACTTCATGGTCCAAGATGCTTAAAATGGATTTGGAACTTCATCATATCTACATTTCAGGAAGGTAATGAAGGAAAGGCAAAGAAGACCTCCTGGAAATGTCACAGACTTCTTGTAATCTCAGGGATGGAAATGTGCCAACCATAAAAATCAAGGTTATTACTATCAACTGAAAATGGGAGAATGGATATTGGGATGCCATTGGTAGTCTCTGACACAAGAAGTGACACTTTCTGTCTGAACTAACCTTTCTGTTTATGACCTTGAGTTATGTAAAAAATATGGAATGAAGTGGCAACTTCAATCTATCATTCACAAAATTAGTGGAAACCTCGCCTCACCTTAATCACACCTTGCTCTATTTTTGCATACTTCCTGTCATATATTCACTTTGTCTTTCTAATCTCTCTTGTCTGCTTCAGTCCCCCCCTACTTCAGTATTTTACTCTATCAGCCTCTTTGAGGACCAACTCATGAATATGTTTGTATTTGAGACTTATCCACCTCTCCTTTGACATAGCATTTGTTCCAACTTTTTGCCCTTACCTATTTAGTTTCAAATTCCTGCATATTTTATTTTTTCTATGCTTCCTTAGCTGATGAAACTCCTTTCTGATTGACAAACTTTTTTCTTTATTGTATTATTATTACATTTAATCAGATGATATTAGTTTGTTAGTGTTACTGTAACTAATACTAGAGACTGTGTAATTTAAACAATGGAAATTTATTTTTTCACAGCTGTGGAATCTGGAAGTCCAAGATCAGGGTGCTGGTAGAGTTGGTTTCCTCAGAGGCTTCTCTCCTTGGCTTGCAGATGGCCATCTTCTACCTCTGTCTTCACATGGTCTTTCCTCTGTGTGCACACATGTCTGTTTCCGAATCTCCTCTTCTTATAAGGACACCATTCATATTAGTTTAGGGCCCACCCTAAGGACCACATTTTAACTTACCTCTTTAAAGACCTTTTCTCCAAATATGGTTACATTCTGAGGTACTTCAGCAGATGAATTTTGCAGGCATACAACACAGCCCATAGCACAGATTCCAGGGAAGTCACAGCCTTTGGCATTGCATATCTCTGCTCTGGCCCATTACATGTTGACTTTAAAGTTTAGACCTGATAGCAGTATTATTGCTTTAATTTTCAAGTTCTTGCAGAAAGTTGCACTGCTAACCCCAGCTATTGATGACAGCAGGTATCCACAAAGCATTTACAATTATTTTATCTTCTATTCTCCTTTTTGATTGGTACTCTTTATTCTTCTGTATATGTATGCTATCTTTATAAGAAGTCTAATTCAGACCCCTGGCTGTAATGCCATTAATATGCCAGCTGT